TTTTCGATCAGTTCCTTGATGTCTCGCTCTGGACTCAATTGAAGCTGCTGAGAAGATCAGGTACAATCGCTCAATCTTGTGGTGACCTATGACTGATGCGGTTGGCTCATGGATATTTCCTTGTAGCGCAGAGGACGCTGCTGAAAAGAAGAGAGGGACAGCGAATCACCTTAAATTGACGAGCACCTTGGTGCCTATATCGCTCTTTTGCGCGTAAACTTGTCTTGGACCAAACCGAAGTCCATTCTCCTTCCTCTTTCTCTGCATGCATGTATTTTTAGTCCTACCTAAGGCTTTCTTGTACTTTGTTAGAAATCTGGAGGTGCTAAAGTTTGTCTGTTGGTAACATTGTGATGCATTAGCACATCGTCACTATAGGCGAGAAAAGTCGTCTGCGTACATGCTGTGGTTACAAGGCGCGCTTCAGAGCTTTGAATGCCATCTTTTGCGTCCTGCACTTTTAATATCTACTTAAGTTTCAGCGTAGCCCACTGCAGATTGACTCCCGAGGGTATTTTAGGAAAGGACTGTGAAGTGCTCCTGGCTGTATGGGGGATTTCCCCTTATTTCCAATTAACTTCTGCAATGCGCTTAGACTATGAAGAAACAAGCCCGTTCGTGAAGCGTGAGAAATTTTCGAGGAGCGAAAATCCATTAAAATTATCTTGCAAAATTAAGCGCACGGCAAACCTTTTGACGATCAGTAATGTTTGATGATGCCCTTTGGGTGCTTCATGTGCGCAAGAAAGTGAAGCATTACGAGAGACAGTTTGCCTACCAGTGCGATGACATGTTTGAGCCAATTCAGCTTCCCATGAGAGACCGGAGCCGAACAATATTGTAGTGCTAGTAGGCATAAAAGCACCGCTAAAGTCAACTCGAGCACCAGCGTCACGCATCAAGAATAACCAGACGTTGGCATGCCACAGGCCTCCACTGCCCGAAGTAGAGCGCCGCATAATGTTGAATTGTGAGACAATCGCACGACAGCATGCCGGAGAGAGAGCATCTTTGCCAGGCTTTGGTCGCACCCTCTTGAGACCGCAGGTGTGCTGTGTGGACCTATACGACGACACGGCTTTACGAGACGATTCGACGGTCACTTTGGAGTCTTCAATTATTAACTTTGGTTATTCCAATTGAAGGCTTTGTTATGTTAGCGTAATTACTAATAAAAAATGAGGAAAAATTATTCCTAAACGCATTAGTGCTGTTGAGGAATTTAACTTTTGTCTCTTATTTAAACTATTAATTTGTCAAAACCATTTAGTTTGTTCAATGTTTTGCAGTGTTACTTTTGATTCTCAGCCTCTGCAACCCTGTCTTTTATGCACTGGAAGAAATATCGTTTCACTTGAATCAATCACTTTTCCCCAACGATGGATAAGTCGGGTTCGGCTCTGCTAACAGCCACATTCTTCGACCAAGTAGCATTCACCTTCCCACTACCAATATTAACCTCAATGCAGTTTAGTCCGTGCTAATGCGTAAACCGTGGCATTGTTCGTCCACAAATGCACTTTTAATGTCTGTGGAGTTCAACCGAAGTGATGGGGCTAGTGGTGGTTATGTGAACGAGTGTTTCGTTGTGCGATTCCCTTCTTTACCCGAGCCAAAATACATCGTACGAGTAAATGCGTCACTTCTACTGAAGCAGTAGCAATGGTGGAGGGGTGACCGGCTAAGCGTCTGTTGGTGATGAGGTGCCGTAACTCCGACCACTTGGAGCAGCAGTGACCGCGGTCTTACAGGCCACAACGCAGCACACATCCGTTTTTTTCCTATGTAAAATCACAACCACTTTGCTTGCATCAAGTGCTGTCTTGTCGAAACATTTAAGGCGGCATTACTTGCGGTGTTGAGCGTCCCACAAATCGCCCCTGTGTTTGGTAACACAGAGGACGTCGGTACATTCTACTGTCGTTCCTAAACGCATGATTAACGTGTTTGTTGCAAAAGTTAACGAAACACGAGGTCAGTATTTGCAGTGTAGCACGAAGGGATTACTTTCCGAGACCTCAACCACCATAGGCGTCACTTTTACACATTTTCATGTGTTGGCAATACCTCGCCAGCATGACGAAATCTTCAATCAAAGACATGCTACGACCACGCAATTAATGTCGCATGACCAAATCCTATCTGCTCGGCATTCGGTCTTGTTTCTGCATGGACGCAAGGTGTAATTTCTTTAGGGTGTAGACATGCCACCCGCTTTGCTCGGTATCGTAGATCTAGCCGCCTACAAATGCGAAATCAAATTCAAGCAGTAGGCTCGACGTTAACATGTAATTTGCAAGGCAAAATATCCCCATGGGAAAGACCACACAATGGGGAATTTTATAAAAAAGAAATTTCAACAATAGATATTAGTTGCAAAATTTGATAAAGTGCATTGATTAGCATGAAAGCACCTTCCTCATCATGCACTACAAGCCGCCTCCCTCTTCTCTGATTCAAAGTCCGAGTTTCTTGATGACCAACGTACGTGCAGACACGGGACCTAACTTTGCCCCAAAGGAATGGAAACGGCCGTCATTCTTGACCAGTGCGTGTTCTAGTAGAATGATGCAAAAATAAAGACTACCGAACCCTGAAGGTGGACAAGTCACTTTACGGACAGGGCTTCGCGTGATTTGTGACACCGTGTTCAAACCGAGTTACAAAATCTGCAACGCGGTGAAGGGAAGCAAATTGATGGCTAAATCAGTTACAAGGATCTTAAA